ACTGAGAGTGGTCAGGAATTCAAACAAACAAATTTTAGAGCAGTGATGTATATCTGGCTTGGAAATTTTTGCCAATTCAGCTATTTTGAACTAGATTTGAAACTCACTTTGCTAGTATATCTTTGACATAACTGGCTAAAAAAAATACCAAAAAATAATAATGACCTTACTTTGCTTGAAGACTTATTACAATGTTTTGTTGCTACACATGCTAGTGTGAAACACAATATTGTAATGTTGGCTAGGAAAGCTAGGAAGGTGAAAAAAGTTGGGCATTTCTATTCTTTGTGAGTTGGAGTGAGCAGTTTAATTGAGTCAAAGGAATATACAGTAATCAATGCTAGAGGGTCATTCATACAAGATAGTCTTAAAAACCTACACAGCCTTATTAAAATAACAGTTTGATGTAAATTATGTAACATATGATTAAGTATTAAGTAACTAGTAAATATTAGGTCAATTGGATAATTTCATACAAAAGTAACAAAAGACAAAAAAGGCTTGAATTTATGTGATTGGAAAAGAAATACAATGAAATCATGGGAAATATAGTTTAAACGAGATGTAGTTACTACGTTTAGTCTTTCCTGGTGGAATAACTATATTTAAGGGTGCCAAATTAGGGAGCTGTTGTGTTTAGTAGATAGCTCCCTAATTTGGTATCCTTAAATATGGCAATCCATCATAAATGTCTAATAAACAGCTCCCTAATTTGGTATCATATCCATTAATATTTTAAATGTCACATAAGGGTGCTAAATTACAGATACATCTACTAAACAGCTTTGGTACCCTTAAATATTGCAATTCCATATAAGGGTCCTAATTGTATTTAGGCAGATATCTGCTAAACAGCAGAATGTTCAAAATTTGACCTAAATTTTCTACTGTGCACAAGTCTAATATGCATCCATAGTAGGGTGAAGAGCTTTGCAGTGGAAGAGGAAATGGGAAGAGATGTGAAAGGGGAAAGAGAAGAAAACAAAATTAAAAAGGGAGATATTATTTATAAATGGGCAGTGGTTCCCAACCCAGCGCCTTAGACAACACCAATAGGCAATAGGATTTAGATGTATTTTAATTTTGTTCACATGAGGATTCTGAAAAATCATGAACTGTTGGTGTACCTTGAGGACTTGGTTGTGAACTGCTCTAAAGCTAGAACCAAGTGGTATGGCATAGGTGAATAATGCAGTAACTCCCAATCTGTTCATTTCTATAGTATCTTAGATGATAGAATAACAGTCAGCAATATATTCCAGAGTTCAGTTATGGTTCTGTGGATGGAATGAGTGAATTTAACATCAAAATTACTTTCTGCTCTGGTAAACCAATTTAGCACAGCAGAGCCCAAGAGGATGTCTGCTCTTTTTCTTCACATATAAAACACAAAAGTTTAGTTGAAAACTCTGTCAAAAATTCATATTCCAAGAATACTTTCAATGTACAAATGCATCTTTGAGGATCCATTGGGGAATCATTATCCTGATATACTATGCAACTAATAGCCTCTGATTACTTGGTTAATCTCAGGTTTCTTTACATTTTATGTTAATTTTTCCAATATGACATGATATTTTATCAGATTCTTGGGCTATAGGTACCACAGCTAATCAGCCTGGAAGTTTTGGTAACATTGGTACATAAAACAGGATTTGGATCTAATAAATTCAGATGTCCCGACGTTCAGAATTTTAGATTGAGATAAATCATATTGTACTATCAACAATCTGGCTATATCTTTAAAACATGCTCCTATCAACTATTTTCTGTCTTGTAAACACCCACTTATATGTTACCTTTTGAAGAGCTTCCCAGATAACAGGTTATATTATTCTGTGAATAAGACTCCACAGGATAATCTCGGACAGATTGATTTGTTCGGGTGTGGAGTAAAAGGAATTTGTCTTGGCCAAACATTTTACTTAGTTTTACAACATTTGGATACTTGGGAGAACAATGTTAATTTATGCTTAAAAATGTTGCCTTTTCTGTTTCATTTCAATGGGCTTATATAGACTCTGGCCTATGATGATTGGCTACTGTATTTTCTGTGATATCAAGTTTGTTTACATTTGTTCACTCTGTCTTGTCTAGTTAATAGGTTCATTGCTGCTATGGAGCAGTAAGTGTATACCACAAAACTTGCCTCCTGTCTTTAATAAAATCTATATTTTCTGGCACTGAAAAGACTTGATCTACATGTTCTAGATTTACATCAATATATGTATGTTACTGTATTACTTACACTCACCCATAGTTTATGACATCTATTTATTCTCTTCTCTTACATTCAAGGAGATTTGTAACTTTTATGCACACTACAGTCAATTATAAATTAGCATAGTTTCCACAATTCAGCATTTTCTTGTGGGTTTTTCTTCTTCCACATTTAAAGGGACACTCCAGGCACCCAGACCACATCTGCCCATTGGAGTGGTCTGGGTGCCAACTCCCACTACCCTTAACCCTGCAACTGTAAATATTGTAGTTTTCATAAACTGCAATATTTACCTACTAGACAGCCACTAGAGGGCACTTCCGGGTTCATAGCACGCATTTTGTGTGCTATAGCGTCACTGGATGTCCTCACGCTATGTGAGGACCTCCAGCGTTGCTGAAATCCCTATAGGAAAGCATTGAAAGCATTTTTCAATGCTTTCCTATGGGGAAGTCTAATGCACGTGCGCATTAGGTCTCCCCACCGCCGGCGGCCATGCATGCGCAATAGCTAGCCCCCGCCGGATGACGTCAGCAGGGGAGGAGCGTGGGCGGACCCTGAACCAGCGGCGCTGTATATAGGTAAGTCACTGAAGGGGTTTTAACCCCTTAGGCAACTTGGGATGGGAGATGGGAGGGAGAGGGGACCTGCAGTGCCAGGAAAAGGGTTTGTTTTCATGGCACTGGAGAGTCCCTTTAAATACTGTTGTTCTGGAAGCAGCAGTAATTTGAAATTATTTTCATGTTTTTAATAAAATTTGCACTGTCTTTCTTTTCCTTTTTATATATTGTCTAATCCTACATGCATGGAAATCCATTTTTATAAGCTGTATTAGTTTTTTTTAGTTTGTGGCCTTAACTGCAAAAACGTTTTGTTATCTCTTCTCAGGAATTCAAAATCTTTTCTTATGGAACCTACTTGTCTCTTGATATATTATACATACAGGTTCAGTGCAGGGATTTTACTCTGTTCTCTATGGCTCCATATGCACATCACTAAATCTACATGAGATATTAATGACCAAGGGCATGCAAGGTCATGGGGTGCCTGAGGCCCTTAGACCCAACCAGTTCCATGACCCTAACAGATTGGAGGTCCCTTACCAAATATTTTTTATAATAATAATAATAATTTTATCATAAATGTCAAGAGCAGGGGTCGTGAACCTGGTCCCTACTGCCCACTTGTGGGCATTTCAGGATTCCATGTGGGCGGTAGGGGGATCTCCTGCACAACAAGCTGAATCCTCCTTCCATCGAGAGATAGGGTGGGCGGGTGGGCGCGAGTGCACAAACACACATGAATGCACGAACGTGCACGCGCAAACAAGTGAATGCCGGCATGCGTGCGTGAACAAGAGAACGCGTGCATGCGAGCGAGAATGTGCCAACACGAGCGAGTGTAACACGTAGTAAGAGGAAGGGGAGGAGTGGGAGCTGATGCATGCTAGCATGGGCAGAGCACTTGAGGAGAAAGAGGAGAAAGAAAAGTAATAAGTAGGAGAAGGAGAGAATTGTTGTTGGATAATACTAAGTAGTGACCTAACTAGCTTAGCCTTACTTTTGGGCATTGCCATAAGGAAGGTAAAAGAAAAGAATAAAACAAAAAAGGAAATAAAAAGGAAATAAAAAGGAAAAAAAGTTCAAAAGAGGAAGAAAAATAGAGAAAAGGGGAAATAATAAAGGAGGAGTGAAATCAGTGTTTGGAGTGGCTCATGTTTTGGCGAGTTAAGTTTTGTTATCTTATAAAATAAAGAAAGAAAGAAAGAAAGAAAGAAAGAAAGAAGGAAAAGAAGTAACGGAAGGAGAAGGAGAGAATAAAGAGGGAAAAAGAGACCCCTGATATATTGATATAATATAAGGAAAGTAAAGAAGAAGGCAGGAAAAGTTGAAAAAAAGGGGAATTTCTTTTTATGGTGAAACGTAACAAAAATTGGCACCTAATACAGCTTTTTTTCCTTAAGAAAATTGAACTGGATATCAAATATTTAGTCTCGCAGCATCAGCCTCAAGGATCTCATTAATCACCAGTTAAAAGTGTTATGGATAGAAATTAATGTTAGTAAAATGTCTATTTACTTAAAATGGCTGCTAGAGCATAGAGCACCCCCTCCCATCCTGTATTCATTAACTACTCAAAATGGCCGTACCCCTCCCATCATGTAAAGAATGTAAAGAATGTTATGTACTAAGATGGCGTCTCCCTGCAGAGAGATGCACCTAGAATGCACATGACATCACATCCTGGGGGAGGCACATTAGATCAGACACTTAGCACCTACCAATTAAAGCTGTATTCTCTCTGTTATCTCATGTTTTGCATATGATGCATTTCTGCCTTTATGAGGGGCTCCCCGCCTCCCTGATTAAGCATTCCGAAGTTTTTCATCAACCTGAAACCTTGTGTCTGGTGTGATTTACTTCAGAGCGTGAATGCATCCATTTTAAACAATTTGGACAGGGGGCAGATATTCAGATAATCAACATTTGGTTTGATCTAAGACAAAAGTAATTTCAATTAACTTTGCTTTCACATTTAACTTCATAACGTTAAAAACATTATAAACGTGCATAAAGTAGAAATAAAAAGATAAATTTAAGTACATATTTTTTAAACAAAACACTCCTTTCTAAAAAATATTTCTCGCAAAAAGATTTGAGTTACTGCAAGTGTAAAAATTAATGAGGCTCTAGACCAGGAGTAGTCAACCTTTTTATACCTACCACCCACTAATGCATCTTTCTTAATGGTAAAATATCCTTACCAGTGTTGTGGGCGACAGGCCCGGACTGGCCATCGGGCACACCGGGCAAATGCCCGGTGGGCCGCGGTGGCCGTGGGGCCGAGGCCGGCAGGGAGATCACAGGATCTCTCCTGCCGGTCTTTGCAGGGCCGGCGCTATCTGAACGCCGGCCCTGCAGTAGTCTACAGCGGGCCGGTGGGGAGATCAGAGATCTCCCTCACCGGCCCACATGCAGGATAGTGCGGCCGCCGGGGGAGAGAGGGAGGGAGCCAGCCTGCCAGCAGAGGAACCCGGCGGAGCTTTAACTTACAGCTCCGCCGGGTTCCTCTCGCGAGATTCGGAGCGTTGCCATGGCAACGCTCGGGTCTCGCGAGAGTGAACTCTAGCCCAACAGGCTAGAGTTCACTCACCACTAGGACCACCAGGGATGGATGGAAGCCCCAGCAGCAGGATCCCCCCTCCCAGGCATAAGGTAAGCAGGGAATATAATCAGGGCACAGCAGGCACATAACACTCACACACCCTCACTCACACACACTGCACCTGACACTCACAGCACCCTCACTCACACACACACACTGCACCTGACACTCAGATAATCAACATTTGGTTTGCATCTAAGACAAAAGTAGCACTCTTGCAACCTGCACTCCAGCACACACACTGCATCCCTAACACTCACAGCACCTTTACACACACACTGCACCCCTGACACTCACAGCACCCTCACACACACACTGCACGCCTGGCACTCACAGCACACACACAATGCACCCCTAACACTCACAGCACCCTTACACACACACACACACACACACACACCTGCACCCCCAACCTCCCACACACTGCACCCCTGACACTCACAGCACCCTCACACCACACACACACCTGCACCCTGGCCTCACAGCACCTTGCACTGCACCCCTCACTCCCCAGCGCCTCACTCCCACACACACACACACACACTGCACCCCCTGACACTCCACACACACACAAACACTGCACCCCTGACCTCACAGCACACACGCTGCACCCCTGACACTCACAGCACCCTCACACACACACACTACACCCCTGACACGCACTGCACCCTCACTCACACACTACACGTCTGACACTCACAGCACACACAAAATGCACCCCTAACACTCACAGCACCCTCACACACACACATTGCACCCCTGACACGCACAGCACACACACTGCACCCCTGACACTCACAGCACCCTCACACACACACACTGCACCCCTGACATGCACATCACACACCCTCACTTACACACACTGCACCTCTGACACTCACAGCTTCCTCACATGAATACACTGCACCCTCACACACAGCTTCCTCACATGCACATAGCACCCTCATGCAAACACAGCACCCACTCACACACAGCACACACACACTGCACCCATCACACACACAGCACCCTTACCCACATAGCACCCTCACGCAAACGCAGCACCCATCACTCACACACACACTGCACCCCTCTCTCACACACACTACACCCCTTATACACACACACACACACACAGAGCACCCTCACACACACTGCGCAATATGCTTTCCTGGCATTTTTGTCTCCTGGTATCCCAACTATGGAGACACCAGAGACAAATTTCAAGCAAACACAGTGCAAGCATGTTATTAAATTTGCTTGCGCTGTGCAGAACAAATACAGGGTATTTTTCTCATGCCAGAGCTCTTCAGCAGAGCTCTGCGCATGTCTACCCTGGAAGAGCATTGAACCAACATGCTCACTTTGTGATGGGGCGTGCTTGTCATTGGTGATGACAAAACACACCCTATCTGGCCCCGCCCCCTTTTGAGTGGGCCGCTGTAATTAAAAAATGCCCGGGCCGAATTTTCTTCCCAGTCCGGCCCTGGTGGGCGATAAGGACATTTTACCATTAAGAAAGATGCATTAGTGGGCGGTTGGTATAAAAAGGTTGACTACCCCTGGTCTAGAGCCTCATTAATTTTAATATCAAAATGTATATTCTACATGAGTAGGCTGGTATGCTAAATGCATCTATTCACTAAAAGGTGAAGTAAGGGGAATTGTTAAGGAAATTGTAATATCTAGGCCTAGGTAGCTGACTTGGAAAAAAGGGTTGTTTTTTTTTTTCATTTTGACTTAAATTTGCAATTCCGAAGCAAATTTACTATAATTTACTTTTTACAGTTATTCACTTATTCCCATTAAAGGAACACTATAGGATCAGGAACACAAACATATTTCAGACCCTTTAGTGTTAAAACCACGATTTAGGTGGCTTGTCCCCGCCCCTCCCCCCTCCACCAACCCTCCCAAACCTAGCCCCTTAGAAAGGGTTAAAACATACCTCTACTTCCCGATCCGCTTCTTTGGCTGACATCCTCAGAATTGATTATCTCTGCCAATCCAATGCTGTGTGTGAGTAAGGATGCATTGTGTGTTTCTCTGTGTGTGTGGGGGGGGGGGATGAATTGTGTATGTGTGTAGTGTAAAAGAGAGGGTTTGTGGGGTAGGATAGGGACTGAGAGGGGAGCAGCTCTTTATTTTGTTAAAATAATTTCATAGTGCTCACCCCTCCTGTCAATTAGTGTTCTTCCTTTCTGTCCCTTAGTGCTCTCCCGTGGCCCCCTGTCCCTCTGCAGTCCCCCCTTGGTGGTCTTCTCACTCCACTCTCTCCCTCTTAGTGGTCCTCCCTCCCTCAGTGGTCCTCCCTCCCCCCCCCTTTGGTGGTCCTTCCCCTCTCCCCCTCCCCTTAGTGGTCCTCCCTCTGGCAAACCCCTAGTGGACCTTCCCCCCTCCTCTCTCAGTGGTCCTTACTCCCCCCTCTCCCTCAGTGGTCCTTACTGCCCCCCCTCCTCCCCCAGTGGTCCTTACCCCCCCCCTCCTCCCCAGTGGTCCTTAGTCCCCCCTCCTCCTCCTCCTCCTCACCCAGTGTCCCCTCCTCCCCAGTGATCCTTAGTGTCCCTCCCCTCCTCCCCAGTGGTCCTTAGTCCACCCCAGTGGTCCTTGAGTCCCCCTCCTCCTCTGGTGGTCCCCTCCTCCTCCTCCCCAGTGGTCCTTAGTCCCCCCTCTTCCCTCCTCCCCAGTGGTCTTAGTCCCCCCTCTTCCTCCACCTTCCCCAGTGATCCTTATTCCCCCTCCTCCTCCCCAGTGGTCCTTAGTCCCCCCCTTCCTCCTCCCCCATTGGTCCTTGGTCCCCTTCCCTCCTTCCCCCAGTGGTCCTTACTCCCCCTCCCCAGTGGTCTTTGGTCCCCTCACTCCTCCCCAGTGGTCCTTGGTCCCCCCCTCCTCCCCTCCCTCCAGTGGTCCTTACTCCCCCCCTCCCTCCAGTGGTCCATATTCCCCCCATTCTCCCCAGTGGTCCTTAGCCCCCCTCTCCCCAGTGGTCCTTTTCCTCCCCCAGTGGTCCTTACCCTCCTCTTCCTCTTCCCTCCTGCCAATGTAGCGTGGCCGGGCGGTGCAGAACGCGGGACATTGAGAGACGGCAGGAGGGAGCACTCTGCGCGTCCCTCCAGCCGGTCGCTCAAATCCGGCCGCCATCCATACAGCAGTGCTGCGCCGCCTAAGGCTTGCTAAAGTGCTCAGGCGGCGCAGCATGTAGGAGCCGCAGAGGTGATTCCAGGTGCAGGGATCCGGCGCCCCCTGCTAAGTTGCGCCCTAGGCCGCTGCCTAGGTCGCCTTACAGGTAGCGCCGGCCCTGTGTGTGCAGTATTGTGTGAGGGGGATCTGTTTGTAGTATTGCATGTGTGGGGATGCTGCTTGTGGTGTTACTTGTTTGTAAGTATGCTGCTTGAGGGGTTACGTTTGTGGAGGTACACTGCATATGGGATTGAGTTGCTGGACAAATCTGCTTGTGGGGTGCAGTGTTTGGAGAGGGCTGTGTGTGTAGGGTGTAGGATCTGTAGTTTGTGTGTGGATAGGAGTTATATGTAGTGTTTGTGTGGGGTGAAAACAGGGGTGTAATGTTTGGAGGAGTAAATAGGGCTGTAGAGTGTGCATGTGATGGGATAAGGTCTGTAATGTGTGTGGCAGGTTGTTGTGTGTGTCAGGTAGGCACTGTAATGTGTGTGTTTGTGGAGGGATAATGCTAAGGACAATTCTTGATTTTGACGGATCCACATCAAAAATCCCTAATAATAATAGTCGCTCTCATCAAAATAAACATTTACTAACTTTCTAACACATGGGGCATCATTCTTACAATGTCATGGTCACATTATTCTGGCTCCAAACTAGCATAAATTACTTGAGCCATGGCCTTAGCTTTGGTGTTGGAGGATGGGGGTAGTATTGTGGGGGATAAGAGCTTTAGTGTGGGGAGATGGGGAATTTCGATTATGAGTAAAATATATTTAAAAAAAAAAAAAGTTTATTCCCTCTCCCTCTTGCTTAACTTGGCCAGGGAGTTGCAGAGTCAATCTCTGGTGAAACAGTAAGCTAATTATTTGGTGTGCACCCCTGTTACTGCAATTACTTATTTATTAAGTCATACTGGATATGCCTGAAACTTACATCATTCATAATTTGTTTAGTGCCTTGACAGAAATTGTGTCAAAATGTAAATCAACCTCATATTTACAAATTTGTTTACACTGTAATACCCATGGTTTAAAATCCAAATATCACCTTTTGAGGAGACAGAGAAGTTGCAGCTGTAATATACAAATAACTGAATGGTTGGTTATGTAAATGAAGAATTTAGTTTATGTATTCAGGGATTCAGAATTTATTTTATGTATTTGGTTTTTAAATATTTTTGTTGCTGATAGATAATACGTTAACCCTTTCCCACCGGATGACGGACCCAGTCCGTCATGGTGGGGGAACAGTTAACACCATATGATGGACCGGGTCCAAATAGGCATTAAAAAGGCAATGGCGCCTAATATATACGTACACAGGTCTATTTGGTTAAGTGCACAATTGACCTCAAAGATAAAAAGATAAAAACAAATAATAGTGCAGTACAGTAATTACAGTGAATAGATAGTGGATAATCTTGTGTTATTTCTACTCAAATTTGATTGAGCTAACTTAGAGCTCTGCTGTATTGCACATGGACGGAACAATCCCCATCTAAAGATATGTGATGATATGGTCGTCACAGGTGCCTCAAATAAAGTGTAGTATGCAGGACATGTGTAGAAGTAAACACAAAAAGAGATGCTCCAATGGTGAAGTATGGGCGCAGATTTCCCTATCATCTCTTTAACTTTATCTGTCCACAAGGCTTGGGAATTCTTGTACCGGTTACTGCAGCCTACATTTATCCTGTGTTAAAC